AAGGTGACGTCATCTCTGATGATGAATTAAACAACAAATGTGATATGCTTGCCCAGTGGATCAAAGTGTCTCTACAGGCTAACTTCCAGAAAAATGATGTTTGGAGTGAATTTCGGTAGGGTGGTTTCGACAATGAGTCGTTGGTGCTATCCCTACCCAGTACCCCAGTGTTGTTCTGCCATAGACGACAGCGAGCGTGTACTTAAAACAAATGCCGCGTAAGTTTTCGGATAGCGCAACAAAGTGAGAAACACGTATATTCCTTCCCACAAGTATAATTGAAAGTTCAATTCTATCTCATGACCAGACTCTGACAATGGGTTGATATGGATGGATGACGATAGACTGTCCACATTTTCAAAGTTGGGTCAAAATTTTACATTTGGATCAAAAGTTGCCGAAAGGGATAGTTTGACGCGTAATGCCCTCTCATAAACTGTTTGGCATGAGAGGGTGATACGCGCGCGGTAACGGTCTTTTGCATATGGCGCGCACATCTTTTTAAAGTCCATCGCTAGCTCTACTATAGGCAATCACTGATGACTGAGCATGGACAGGAGTTTCTTTCAAAATGTTCTCAAGAAAAGCAAAAGTGAGAACTCGCCAAGAAGTCGATCTCACGACCTCTTGTTCGTCGGCCCGGGCCGCTGCCACTGCACTATCTCGCTTCATAACTACGTTCAGAAGAATCGTTTCGCAGATTTGGAGAGCAGATTCGAGATCAGCGTCCAAAAACACATCTAGTGGTGTACATCTCGTTACAAATGGCCACTTCGACCGATATATTTCCCTTGTGAGATTACTCATGAATCGGAGCGACAAAGCTCATACCGATTTTACATCTTATCGTTAGATTACTGGCACTAAAGGAACTGGGAGCTCTGGTCACTTAGGATCTTATAAGACCGTACCATCGCGAGCTTCCCCATCGTAACTTTCTCTGATTTATTTCAGTTTTGGATCCGCGATAAAGCAAAAGCACGTATAAAGTGTGTCAAACCGTCTTGTCCTATACGAATACATGAAAACGATATCAACGCAGTTCTAGACGAGCAAGAAGTGAGTTGAAACTCTCTTACGTCAGCACCTGACCTTTGCAGCATCTTGCAGGATGCGCTGAATCTTTTCATGCCCCTCGATCATCGTCAATATTTGCAATACTATCACAACAAAGATGTTATATACTATGCATTTGGTGGTAACGAATACGTGAAGCAATGCCCTTTGTGCAAGGTCTTCGAACGACTAGTCACTATCTCTTAGGAATCTTCAAACTGGCACGTTTTAGTCTATGTATATCGAGAAAGAAGGATGCAGCTATGTCACATGTGCCAACCTGAGGTGTCGCACCCGATTTTGTTGGCAGTGTGGTGAGCCTATAGAAAGCATTATGCACTTCACAGGTGAGGAGAATCTTTTGAATTTTTGATTTCATAAGGAAGGGCAATGATCCATTATCCATTATCGTTACTCTGAACATTCCGATCACAGTTTGCCATCACTTGAGAAAAAATGAGCCATATATAGAGCACTTGCCCGAACTCATATAGCCTCATATATCTTTCATTTCTTCTCCTGCAACATCTTGCTCGGTGACCAGAACTAGAAGTGGTACAACACAGGCGATATATTATCAACCAACCCTTTTCGGTCATGCCTGTACTTGGTTACGCACCCGTAGAGATGTTCCCACACTCAAAACCCGAAACGGCGCAGTAATAAGGCCCCAGGGCATGTACTATCGCGCTATCGCCGCCTGGCCCGCTACGACCGCCCACCTTGGGATGTGTGCGTGGCTGGCATAACGTGTGAAATCAGTTAGGTTGATTGCCGTATCAACCCGAGCACGATGATATCTCCAGAAAACTTGTTTGTACGTGCCTCTTTCCCAAGCCAGCCTCCTTCACTGCTAGTGGGAAAGAGGGTTTTGTTAACGGCCTTGTCGACGGTTTTTCTCAGTTTTTTCTCCACTGTCGTTCCACTTCGCATCTCTATACTCAGTTTCAATCGCCATAATACCCCTTATTGAGCCCGACTTTTGCCTTTAGCATTGAGTTATCCTCTAGCGTCGCTTGCTTTCGCCCACGTCGATGCAGGGCCACGACGACTGACTACGAAAGCACCTTGAATAGATTGACAATGTTGAAAGTCCAAATATTTAAGGTCAAACGTGTCGTGTTGGGTACGACGATATCGAGCGTGGACTGTTTTGGGTGAAACTTGCCGTTGATGTACGGGCCTTCGCACTGATTCTTTATGTGCCTGTCTTCTTCCTCGCATGCATGGTAGGCTGCAACTAATAAACAAATTGAGACGTAAAAAGACCTTTCTGAGACGACGCTTCAAGGTTGGAATCCCTCTGTACGTCTTGCTCGCTTTCCCCAGTTTCCTTGCTCAGCGTGTGTACAACAACGCTACAGTGAAGACGGATTACCTCACCACTGCCGAAAAAATATTGGTAGCATTCAAGGTAAGCGCAAAGTGAGTGCCAAATATGACTACTGATTTCTGATGCTGTGGTTCTTAGATGGTGTCAATCTTCCTGGCTGGGATACCTGTGGGACTGTTCCTGGCCCTAAACTCCATTGTTACTGGTGGAACGATCTTTGCGATATATGTGGCATTTACGGTGTTCAAGGCAAGTCCTTATGCAAAGGTTAGTTAATTATAACTGTTTAGCCAGAAAGAGAAGCACTCCAGGAAAAGCAAATGTCTTACATCCACGGAACCTGTCAAGCTCAAAGAACGTACTATTGAATTATCCTAATTCAGAGATTCACTCCAAAGCATTTGGGACGACATCACTTTTGACTCACCGCCATAACCCTTCAACGAAAGCACAGTTGGGCGCTTGGGGATGCCTTTGTGCTACCTTTTTCAGAGTCTCACATTCTTGGCAAACATTCGCGCTGGCATTCGCGTACTACTGATTACCATACAGAACGATTCAAAGGTTCGAATCTCTGGCATTTTCTTGCTCACCAGATTCTTGGATGCAGCGCCAGAAAGGCTATCTCGTTCGCTACTGTCGCATGCCAGAATGCTTCTTGAGAATGTTTGAGGAACATGAACGATCTCATCTCATCCCAACATGCTCACTTAAAGGTCTGACCAATCGGGCGTCGTCCTGGTGTTTCTTGGGTGTTCTGAGGAAATCACTCGGTAGCTTGCTCAGGCCGGCCGTTTCAAAATTGATCCGTGATTTGGTCTCGCTTGCCTTACTATCATTTCTCCACGCGTAGGAGCCTCCAAGCACTGTTTGAAGGAGCTTCGGACTCCTTCAACGGTGCTGGAGCTCCAACCCAAAAAATGAAATTAAGTTTGAATAGCGCAACTCCAGACATCGTTCAGAGAGCTTTAGAAAACGCAACTCGCAGTAGTCATTTTGGCTTTCGAATGTCCATGTCTGCAATGCTTTGTACAAGAATTAACCTTTATTTATTACCACCGAGTGAGTTGCAGGGCGAATAATTGGCAATTCTGTGACTAATGGGCCGAGATGAGGGGGCTATGATTCTCAGATGGCGGTTCGCCCCACGTTTTAACCCACGCGGTTTCTCATTTCGGACCTGTATGTGGTTGTCTTAACTTGCTAAGCGGGCGACTCACCAGAGGGGCGCTCTCCTTCGTCATATTTCCCCTTTTTCGTTCACCTCTGAGCCAATATGGTGCCCAGGCCTCCTATTTGGCAAGCTCTTCACCACAAGTTCGCTACCGCAAGCATCTTTATCTTCAAGGTAAGAAAAACCACAGAACCTATCGATATCCCTACATGTCTGCCACTATATTTGTATTTCCCTCTTTTGTTTCAAAGCTAATTATTATTACAATGTGCCAGATCTGTGGCAATCAAACCTATCTTTACTTTCTCCACCCAGACATGTTCAGTCTAAATAACCAGACTTAAGAACGTAACCTGCTTGCTCGATGTAGTGTTATAGGATGCCACCTGCGAATTGGAGTTAGTGTGGTAGAAAATGGTTAACCCACGCTACGTTGTTCCATTCCAGAAGACCTCTTGCGGTGGCTGCAACTTTATTAGGAGAGAATGGGGGATCGCACTTTTGAAGACACAGCACTTCCTAGGTCTGTTCACAGAGACCGAGAAAATTTCCGAAGCTAAAAAGTTGGCGTTAGGCTCGCCGAAGGTTTTCAAGTGTGGGAGCAGGCACCTCCCTTCGTTTGCCGGGGGACCAAGGACTGAGTAACATTGGAGAGCGAGTTATGTGCCTAGTGAACGAGGCAGGGCATGCGTGAGCGGCTTATTCGATGGACTCCCGTGGACCCTGTAATGAGTTTCACGACGATAGAATTCTCTCCGAGACTCTGCTCTCATTTTTGTCTACGTTCTGTTACCAATAATGTCTACTGCATTAAACACTACACAGGTGAAGGGTTTTGTAGACAGAAGAAAATTGAGCGATTGCCACCATAAAATAAGTGAAATTCCACACCGCCCCTTAAGAAATCCGGGCCAGCCTTACAGCAGTACCACCTTCAACGCAAGGGAACTCAGGATTGCGTAGGAAAAGTAAAGCACTAGCTTAATGGAAACATCATGGCTATCTACTCTATTGCTCTACAAAAATGCTCTAGAAAATTTGCTCTCATGGCTGCAGAATCGCTTGCAGAATCGAAAGAGTGCAACCCTTATAATTTATTTTAGAACCCTTGACAATCGTTTTGCGAGAAGAAACAGCGTATTTAATTATCCAAACGCTTAGCGAAGGTGGCTTTTCGTCATGGCTAACCCACTATAATTACTGCCGACGTTCACTCCTCGAGGACAGCAAGTTTTGAGAAGATTTATCCACACAACCACACCCTTAGAGTGACCGAATTGGGCTGTTGAATTAATATTGACGTTTTGAGATCGATTTTCGTTCTCTAAGAAAATTATATAAACTACTAATTATGTGTCAAAACGAGCTAACTATTACGGATCCAACCTAGTATCTAGTAGATTTTGTTCTGTGTAAGGAACGCTGACTATCTCTTTCTTAGTTCTTGGAAGAGGGCTACGATTTGCTCCTTCCTATGGCTCACAGTGCCGGATTGGGTCCTTTCAAACAAATGCTTAAAGATGGAAGAAGCGAAAAAGCGAAGAAAGCAACAGCTGAAGGAGCAAGCTGAAGCGGAATCTAGTGAAAGAGCACAAATAGTTGAAGGTGGGGCTCTATATACTGCTAACCCTGTAGCCCTTATCTCTAGAAAATTAAATCGAGCGAGTGTGACAGTGTGTGTGTGTGCGGCATAAAAGAAAATTCAATAGATATTTGTTATACAATAGATGCAGTAGCTATGGGCCTAGTGTGGAGAAATGCGGCCTCTCTGTGGCGAAATGTGCGCCATTTGCAGCAAACTGGGGTTACAAACCTTTCTTGTGCTCCTATGATGCCTGGGCTCCCTTTTTACTTCTGATGTCAGTAGCAGTATCGTTCTTTTCTCGTTCTTGGAGGACATTTTACGAGCTGCGACCCTCAACTTTATTGTATAAGGCGCTATCGGTCAGAGCATGGTGTTTGGGCTATCGAATTGACACGACGAATGCCTCTTTCTTCGCCGCTGCTCACTGATGATCCAAAATAAACGGCAAATAAGGCCTTTTGTGCATGTTACACAGCTCTTTCTGCGTTTCTCGCCGCTAGTGTTCCTCTTAGAGCCGCTTGCGTGTTAAGCGGCAAGTGGCACGCTTACCACGCGAGCGGTCCGGGGATCAAATCCTGGGTCGTGAGTCGCCCGGGCCAACCAAGCCTTCCATCCCTCCGGGGTCGGTTAATTGGTACCAGACTTGTCTGGGAGGATAAAAACACTGACTTGTACATCGGCTGGCCCCCGCAAGTCATTGTATAGGCCACATCGCATTCAAACGCCACTACGAATGTACAAATGGAAGTAGAATGCGTGCCGCATCCCAAAAAGGGATTGATCAACGGCAAATGCTTTATCCTTTTTCCTTTATGTTCCTCTTGCATTAGTAACCCCCCATTACGCTCCGACCCCGTCGACATTCTATGAGGCACTCAAGTCGTTATGGCATAAAGTGAATTAGCCATTTGAAGAGCTTGGGGCTAAGCTTAAAGGGCAATAGGGGAGGTTGACGAACCCACGAGCAAGCTTTGTTCCTACTGGCGTTTCTCTCCCATCGGGCTTATGCTAGTGCCACCTGCCAGCGTTTCTAAGTGGACTGATTTAAATGTCTCTTCAAGGAATGAGCGCTCTGTCGTAATTGCTCCAGAAGGCATGAAATTGATTTAAACTCCCTGTTGCAGTATCTAACTGAGCACTTAATCGTGAAATAGTATAACGAGCATGTCAGGTGCCGCGAAGAATCCTTAAATAAATTGGTCCTAAACAAGAAGTGGTATGGCTGGGCAGGCGGAGAATGAGTTTCAAATCCACGAAGGACTTAATACGTAGATCTTACAATTATCTTAAATATTGCGCAATTAAGCGCTTTTTTTTGTTCTATACCTGTGAAGGATTGTAGTCGATAACAGGGTATCATGCAGGTTCGTTTCCCGCAGTAGGACGAGCTGAGGAGCCTACGTTCAAATTCAATATATTTAAAAGTTCGCGGAAGAAATTGAATATATGTATTAGGTACCGGATATCTTATAGTTAGTGTCGTCGTTTTTTCACCACGAGTTTCGGACCACCAATATTTTGATTACAAATCTGGGGAGTGAAACAGCCTATTCATCGAATGACTCACTAACACTTTCCCATTTACCAGTATGAGTGGAAACCTCGTACGATTAAAGCTAGGAATTTTTTGAGTCGAAAAAGAGAGGTAGGTCGGTTTTGACATCATCTGACAAATCATCCCTCTCACTTGCTAAAAAGTTAGGCCTGGACAAAAGAAGTATACAGTTAGTTAGAGTAGGGTCTGTTTTCCCGGAGTCTTTTTTGCCACATAGGGTCAAAAACGCACCCTTTTTGAGCACACGTGAGTAGCAGATGAGCACATTTATTAGAATTTCTTGTGCAATCAACTTCGTTAAAGCGTTTGTGCATCATCGATCAGTCACTGCTAAGGTGTCCTACCATTTCAGCACAAGACTGGTGCAGCCCCGTCTCGACTGATTTAACTAGGGCCACCTTTTTGACGACGATTGCGGGCATCACTTCAAAGACTTCACTGTCTTTTGAGAAAACTGTGAAAAACCGATGAGCATTTTAAATGGTAGTATTCCCTCCAACAAATGCAATGTTGGTTTGGTGGGCGGAAGTTGTAGCTCTCAGCAAGAATTTTGAAGCATTTGGTACACACATGCGAATTTGCACACTGGACCCAGGAATTTTCAAAAAAAGTATAAAAATTGGGGGAAAGTTAAATTGTGAACCAACAATAGAAAACAATAAGCAACATATTTCGCAGTATTAATGAGCAAAAAGGACTTTCTGAGATATTGATTTTCCATAGTAATCGGCCCCAAAACTTCCTGAACTCAGAAAAGCGACACTAAGATATCCGGTACCTAATATGTCGATCAAGGAATTTGGAGTATCAGAGAGTTCTGGTGGATATGCGAAGATAGGTAAATAGGCACCGGTAGCTTCCCCAAGTCAACGAAACAGAAGTTGTCAAAATCGGGTCATGACAAGTGCTCAAAGAGATCGGTACTGCTACTGTTGCTACTGATACTGTTGCTTCGCTGCAGCATTCATCCCCTTTTTGGCATCTCTAACACTATCAGTGTCTTCTTTGACCATGAAAGTAGCAACCACTTGAAGACGGAAGTCATGTCCACCCCAGCCGTCTTTGAAGCGATTCTCATATTTTGTTGTCTTATGGTTTGTAGTGTATTCTTATCACTATCTGTTTTTTACAGGTTAATCACCAAATAACTTCTTTTACATTTATACTGCCTCATAAAACAAGGCCAAAATATAAACAAATACAAAAACGCTTTTTCAAAGGCAAATGACGAGAAAAAATTGGTGGAGGGTTCGAATACGGACATCAATGTGGGCGCAGATCTACGGAGGCGCATCGGATGGAACTATGAGACAAGTACGATGCGCATTTACCTGCGAGTGCAGATATCAAGTAGACATCTCAATGAAAGCAGTAACCAGCTTCAGCAGATCCAAATGCCTACAAAGTAGCCGAGAGTCTCATTTTGAGCATATAGAAAACGAATAATCGAACCAAGTCGACATACATAACACAGAGACAATAATTCAATCGATATGGGGGCTACAAAATGAATAAAAAGGAACATCAATAAAACCACCATTAAAAAACAGCAACAGCAACAATAACGACGTGTCTCTGTGAAGGTAAAAACCAGCATAGAAGAGAAATTACATCAACATTCGTCTGGCTGCGATTCAAACTTCGATAGTCTTCGCTTAGGTACTGCTGACAATACGTCCGAAATGATCCATTGATGTAATACAGTTACCATCTGACACCACCATTCCCGATCGAGACACATGCACACGTTTCAAACCACGTTTCACGTATGCCTTCTCACTTTCCTGAATTATACGTTTTACCGTAAACAAATAAAACCTAAAATCCACGACCGTGAAAAAAGGGGCAACGATTAGTGCCCAGCCTGGCGGATCTCTGGGGCCGTATTGCGTTAGAGGCTGACTGGCAGGGTCAACCGTTACGTTGGACCGACATTGGACCGACGTTGGACCGACGTTGACCGCTCTCCGCGCCGGCATTCGCACTCGCCTTGCGCGAGCCGTCTGTGTCTCCGTGCGTACGTTCACTCTCGGCATTACTCTCACACGCTAGAGAGCCATGCGTTGGACTTTGTCCAACGGACGGTTGACCCTGGCTAACTGCCTTCCCCTCCATCGCACTGCTTCTGCCAAATTTGCCCACAAAAATGCCCTCGATTGAATACCACAACCTCAAGAAAATGACTAGGTTCGCCGACCTGAACTCCCATGTCAATATACGAACTGCGCACGTGTACCGATGCCGTTGACGGACTGCACTGGATCACTCGTGGGCGAGCATCAACAATGATGTCACCAGACCGAGTCTGCCGAACGGAGATGGCGGCCATACCTGGAAACTCCCAGCTGACAGCAGAGAGCGATTCAAGGAAACTGTTGTAGCCACATACCCATTTATATGCATCACAAGAGTTCCATCGGGCTTGCGATCGTACGAAGCTTCGTGAACGATCTCCTTCGACATGATAGTATACTAAATCATGAAACTAGGAAAACTCGATATCGGCGAGTTGGGGTGGGCGTGTCACCGGAAGTGACGTGCACTTGATAGAAACTATGTGGATAAGCTGCTTCCAACATACATCGCTGGCTATCAGCAAAGCATGCTGGCAACAGCTTATCCACGCACTTCTATCAAGTGCACGTCACTTCCGGTGACACACCCACCCCCTTATCCACGCACTTCTATCAAGTGCACGTCACTTCCGGTGACACACCCACCCCAACTTTCGGATATCGACTGTATGAGTAGTAGAAAATTCCATCATTTGGCGTACCTGCGTGCCTGTTTGCGCTTCATGATAGAAAAGTCGGATGGAAAAGTCATTTTCCAAATGACCAGAGGAGAAATCGAGCGTTTCAAGCGATACCGCTGATGGCCCTGAAGTAAGATATGTTAGCAGTAATCACAAAGAAGATTTACCAAGTATGCACCAAGAAACACCGCTAGAAGACGTGAATTTGATTTGATCAGATAGAAAGGGCTAACTGAATGAGTAAATAGCTAACAAATGGAGCCGATACTAACCTTTGATATGGCTAGAAACAAGAAACGCCTCGTTAAGGTGACTCATCGAAAACAGAATTCCTTCGTTTCCAATAACAGCGAGACGATCGTTCGAAGCGGCTAAACACAAAGATCATCGCTCCTGTCATTTTTGCAAATTCTCCGGTATGGCCATCTGCTGGCCCCCGCAAGCCATCGAATAGGCCATTTCGCATTCAATCGCCACTACGAATATACGTTGCGTGCCGCATCCAAAAAAAAGGGATTGGTCTACGCCAAATGCTTTATCCTTTACTGCAAGCCAATAATAAATCTCCCCGTGAACAAAGAGAACGCAAGGATTCTTCTCTGTTGGAAAACTCAATTGGTTTCAGTTCGAATTCATCTAACATTAGTTCGATAAAAGCTAATGAATTTTAAAGGAAGCGATTACGATAAGGAATTTTCGCATCGGGGGAGAACCTGCGCCACACGGAGCAATTACTTGGCTGCCAAGGAAGCGATGTGTGGCGCTTCCACGGCGAAAGGTGCTGTGGTTGCTGAGCAGGACCTCCGCAGCACTCCGCCCCAGCAGCGTACGCCCACTTGTTTTGATGACTTGGGCGAGCTGTTTGCTGTTGGCTTTTCATTTTGGGAGATCATTTCCCTTTTAGCGGCTGTATCTTCCAACTTGCCCATGTAATGCCTTATCAATCAAAACACTATGCTTGTTGGCATGATGGCGGCTATCGGGGTTAACACGTCCGAACAACGTCGTTCTTTACCGTCGCTCATCCATGGTCGAAAATGAAAGGGCAATCAAAGGGGTACTATTTTGCTTATTTTTGACGGATTTCTTTGCTTTTTTCGCCATTGGCGTACTATTGAGACCCCCACGTCCCCTCTAAACCCCTTGAGATCTATCGTAATCGCTGCCTTTAAGAGCTTTTATTATGACCCAGGTGACGCAGTGCGGCGGCACACGACCATATTCGCCCACGCGACACATTTTCAGGTTCCAGTCAGCTGTCTCAGCGACATCGCCGTTGCCTCTGATAGAAAAATGAATATTACTAGGAAACCCACAGAATTTCGTATATACCATATCGCGAGTGTGCAGCATTCTCGCCTTCTTATGCAGTATACAGGATGCCGTTCCGCGACCATTGATGAAAGCCTAAACGCTGGGTACTGGTGTTCATTTTGCAGAGTAACAGTGCAGCAGCGCAATACCGTTGGAAATGGTTGAAACCAACGAATTACAGAGCCTATGACCAGGAACGCTTCGACAATCCCACAAAAATGCTTTTCTCATGAAATGCTGCACCCCAGACGGCTGAGGGCGACGGGCTTTTGGCTCGTCCGGGCCGGCACGCGAAAATTTGCGCGGCGAGCGGCGCAACGATCACGGGAATTGAACACGTCAAAGCGTGTACATATAGCAGATAAAATCCGCAAGATTTTGCGCTTCCATTCCAACGCGTGGGATTTTGAGGATAACGGTGAAGAAGGGAAGCTCAGGAAGAGATAGGAAGGAACTAGCATAAGGGCTGTATGGCGATATAGGCCGTTAGCTTGAGACGGTTCCAATGGGGGGGAGGGGAGGCACCAGTTACTCTTTGGAAACATGGCCTTAGAGGGAAGGGATTTTGGTTAGAGTCTTTATTCTCCTCGGGTGTCTTTTCCCGCCTCTTGCTTCAGCCGTAAAGTGCTACCTACCATGGGCCCTGTTCTGAATGTTCCCGCTAAAGACAGGAGCACCTCGACCAGCAGAACATATGTAGCTGTCCCTAAATAACTATATCAGCATAAACTCCCAATTTTATTGGCTCCTATTCGCCTTGATGATAGTAGAAACATTTTCATAAAAGTCCTCTTTCGTCTTCTTTTGCGCTGAAGTCTCACCGATACCTCTGTTTCGGAACTCCACAAAGTTTATCCGCAATCTGCACGCGCTTTAAATGTTGAATTTCACTGCAGATCCGCGAACATCACAGAATGCTCCAGCTAGCTTAGGCTGCTTTCATAGTTCGCATCGGTGCGGTCGGTGCCGACGGCGCCGACGGCGCCGACCGCACCGACAGTGTGAAGAGCGTCAATACGCACTCTGGCGCATGACGCGAACGTTGGGCGCAGATCGCGCGCTCCGATCGATAATCCTGGTTTTGGTGTATTTCTTGTGCTTTTCGATGTTTTTTCGCGCCGCTTTAATTCGTGTGTTTCCTGTTCATACTTATTCTTTTATGGCGCAATGTGGCTCGGGGGGGGGGGAAGTCGGTGCGCGGCTCAGCGATGTAGTGTAACTCGAACATTCCAGCTTTTCACGGGACATTTCAGCTTCTCACGCATGCTAAGTGACTGCCCTCACCCCCCCCTTGAATTGGCCACACCCCCTGGCTTGCGAGTTTCCTGTTGCCACAACGCCCCGCGCGACGGCTGTCCCCCCCCCTCCGAGCCACATTGCGCCCTTTTATGACTTTATTAATACTTTCCAGTTGTTCCGCGGGCGAGCGACGTCGTGAACCCGTCGCACAACTCCGGGTGGATGTGGCCATACCGGGTGTGTTGGTCGTAAGCAATTTTGTTTATTCATATGAAGTGAGTGCAAAAAACATCGAAAACAAGAAATACACCAAAACCAAGATTATCGACCGGAGCGCCCCATCTGCGCCCAGCGCACGCGTCATGCGCCAGAGCGCGTGTTGACGCTCTTCACACTGTCGGTGCGGTCGGCGCCGTCGGCGCCGTCGGCACCGACCGCACCGATGCGAACTATGAAAGCAGCCTTAGGTCTGGGAAATTCCCTAGAAACACAATGGAAAAATTCTTGACGAGGGCAAAAATTTTTACTCCAGAGCCTGAGCGAAGAACCGACGGCATGAGAGATTTAAGAACAATCGAGGGGTATTGCAGAACGGAGCAACATTCGGAGCTCCGTCCGCACCTCTTCAAATTCCGGCAGTCTCCTTCCTCCCTAAACCGCCTCAGAGACTTGGACTCTGCGCAGGCAGGACGAGCATGCGGTCAGCGTTATCCAACGCGCTGTCGAGAGGACGATGCTAGGAGTAACCCTATACACGCAAGTGCAGAGGGGAATCCGGAGTTCGGAACTACGCCAACGATCGAAGATCAGGGACGCTGCCGTTTTCGCCAAGGAATCGAAGATAAGGTGGGCCGGACACGTCATGCGATTTTGCGATGACCGTTGGACCAGAGCGGTTACCGACTGGATCCCTCGACGTCAAACGGATACCTGGACGACCGCCGAAAGGAATGAGGGCTTCGTGTCCCTCGAGCGAGGAGGATCCACTGGACCACTCTAGCACGCGACAGGGACGAATGGAGACGTTGCTGGCGCCCGCTCGAGCAATCGACGATCAACGGGACGACAGGTGATACAGGTGACAGGTGATCCGCGAAACCTCGTAACGTCCGGATGGCCGCGCATCCCGCCGCGCAACTCGCTGCGTGCTACCCTGGACGAGCCAAAAGTCCCGCACCCGACGGATGAAGCACTGTCCGCAGGAGGAGAAATTCGACGCATAGAACACCCTTGCGTTTGTCACGATTCACAAAACTGAGAAAGAGGGCCAGTTCATTCTTCGTATCATATCTTCTTCTATGCGATAAATTAGATTGAAATGTGCTCCTGGGCGATCACTTTTTCACATGTGTCATAAAAAATCGTTGAAGGTCCGCGTTGTAGATATCGTCGAGCATACTGCGAACGAACTTTGCATACTGTCGTCGAAGCATGAGCTGTAATTCGTATCGGAGGCAACCACTTCTGACGCTCTCGCAAATATTCCATTCTAAAACAAGGAAGCACCTGTGAGGTTTCATTGAACTGCGGTCACTACAGATCACCCTTTGTTTTCTCGCCGTCCAGGCTTTGTCATGTCGGGTTCGGACAGAGCACCGTTCCAATTACTTTAGGTTTGGGGAGGCTACTTCTAGCGTACGGTCTTGTAGCGGTAAACCT